TCCCCCCGCCCCACCCCACCCCTGCTGGGAAGGACAAGATCTCTGTCTGGTTCACCATTCAGCACCAGCTGAAGGTATGGTTGGCAAACCAAGACAGGCAAACTGGACAGAGACCTTGCCTTTCAAAGGAAAAGTCTGTACTAGACAATCCGAAGAAATGCATTTTATTTGTTTCAAGTCCACACAGTAAGGAGAGCTGGCTACCCAGGTGGTGCTGGTTGGAACAAAGAGAAAGCTGACTTAGGATTTAAGACACTGAAGCATCTGCGCACAGGGGTCAAGAAACTTGCTGTTTATACCACGTGATGAATGCTGTGCAAAGGAATGTTCAAGTGCTTTGAGAACATTCCTGATACCTTGTCCACATGGATGATTTGTGCAACAAACCCCATCTCTTGTAGAGCTAAGCTTGGTCCTAAGCCTGGGCCAGTCACCAGGTCTTCTTAAACATGTGCCTCTGGTGCTGCAAGCCTGAACACCCTATCAGCAAACCCTTTTTCTTGCCGGTGAAATGTGAGACCACGCCTCCCACTAGCGACCAGGGGACCGTGGGTTCTGGTGGCAGTCCCTGGTGGAAATGGCTGTATAATGAGTCCCACTCACATTCAGTATAAAATCAGTGCTGTGGTGCCAGTGAAAAGAACCCCCAAAGGACAGCTTCCTCCCATCCCTTTTATCCCTTTTGACAAGACCACTTCCTGGGCAGGAGATTGTAAGCTGGGAACACCAGGCCTGACTTTCCGAGGGTCCTCCCTTTTTTCTCTTCTGTCAGGGCCGCCCTCTCCCTTCCAGGAGTCAGAAATCTGTCATTTTCAAGGCACTGAGCAGTCACATCCCACTCCCAGATGGGGGAGGGCAGCCCCCACATTCGTGACTAAGCCTCTGCCTCAGGAATAGAGAAGTTCATACGAAGTAAACTTGCTCCCTAAATAATTTGGTACTCATGTCTGTCCGTCAAGCTTGCTTCTAAAGGGGGGCGGGGGGGCACCTGGATCTGTCAGTCACTTCAGGGCTATTGCCTTAGAGCAGAATCATTTCTCTGTACTCCCACTCCCTGCTGAGGCCAACGCCCCCCTCACCCCAGCAGGGTCCACATCAGTTCTACCTTTGGATGGCTGTACTGTGACCCAGCCCCAGGGGGCTTGGGCTGGTGAGGTAGCCCCTGACAACCAGAGCCAGCCAGTGCCACGTTATGGGAAGTGGACCAAAACCAGGTGGCTTCCCAGGCAGCCGCTAGACCCAGAATGGCCCAAAATAAGTTGAATAGAGCCCCGGTCACCCCAGTACTCCTGCGGCTCACTGCTGGCCCCTGCCAGTCAAATGGACAAAGGAAACGAGCCAGCGTGTGTGTGTGTGTGTGTGTGTGTGTGTGTGTGTGTGTGTGCGCGCGTGTCTTGGTGGTTCTTGGGGTTGTTGGGGAGGGGTGAGATGGGGCATCCCTCCACAGAAGGCAGGAATCACAACCCTGTGGTTTTGAGTGGAGACCAACCAGCCTTTCTAAGCAACACAGAGATTCTTTGCCCTGTCTGCTGGTTCACATCCCTTCTGCACACAAGTGTCCGCCTGGGCTTGGGGGGCAAGGCTCTTCGTCCATTCTGCCATCCTATGCCCCCTTAACCCTCATTTCTCAACACTCAAGGGGAGACTGCCTTAATCTCAAATGATGTGAGAAACAGGCATGCTCTCTCTGTCAGCCTGGGTGTAGCTCAGCCCAGACGCCATGCCCACTAGCTCCTCAAGTCCTGTTTCTCTCATGGACAGGGTTGCTTGCCCCCAGGTCTTTGCCCACAGTGAGGACTCGCTCCTGCCTCCCCAGACACCTCTCCCTTACGTGGCTGGCAACCTCAGTCAGGTGCCCTTGGAAGACTCCCAGTCAGGGCCACAAGGCCTGGCTGCCTTAGGAGGCCATGTCCCTGGTGAGCACACCTTCCTGCCCACCTCAGAAGGCTCCCCTCCGAGGAGTAAGGTGAAGCCTAGAGACAAGCATCCAAAGTCACCTAGCAAGTTAACAGAAGCCTGGAGCTCCACCTGCCCCTCCTGCAATCTCAGCGGTCACATCCTACGAGAAGCCATGGGCAATCCCCAGTGCCAGGGCTCCCCACCCCCACCACAGGCAGTGAAGTGACGGAAGACTGGTCCAAGGGGCAGAGTGACTGGATGGAACTGGTGACCAGCGGGGTGGCAGAGGGCAGGGTGGCCCGCTGAGGCCCAGGAGCCAGGGTGAGGCGGGGCCAGTGAGCATGGGGCCCAGCCTCCTAGCCCAGGCCCTGCAGCTCTGCCTCGGACTTGGCATGGCCAAGGGGCCGCAGTGTCCGGGGGGGTCTGCCCTCGGACCCCCGGTCCTGCTCCTCATAGCCAGGATTCAGGCGGCCCATGTTGAGGGAGCAGAAGAAGCTTCGCCCTGTCCCAGCATGGTGCTCCACCAGGGCCTCCAGGCTGGCGAACTCGGCAGGCAGGTGCTAAGGAGGAAAAGGCCGAAGCTCCAGCTCCCTGTCTCCCCATGGCTCCGCTCTGGACACCAACCACCCCTTCACAGGGGATCCTGCCCCACTCCAGAAGGGAGGAAATTCAAGCCCAGAGAGGTCACTGTCCCTCTCACGGCAGAGCCAGACACCGTCTCCTCTCTTTCTTGCCAGCCTGGACAGGACTGAGCCATCCAGTTGGTGATAAGGGCATACACCCAGTCCCTGGAAACCTGTGGTCAGGTCAAGACTCCAGACCTAGAAGCCCAGGGGCTGGGTGAGCTTAGACCAGCCCTTGCCCTCTCTGAATCAGTTTCCAGCTCTGCTAAAAAAAAAAAAAAAAAAAAAAAAAAAAAATGGGCTAGGTTGTGTGGGAAAGCCACTTTTAAAAGCCAGCATCCCTATAGGAATGGGAGACATGACCGGGCCCAAGCCTCTACACTGGAGGTCTCTTCCAAAAGGCCACTCTGGAGAGAGGGGCCTGAGGGCGGGGCGGTAGAGAGAGGTGGGGCCAAGCGGGGCCTGAGGGCGGGGCCAGCAGTCAAGATGGAGAGTTAAAAAAGAGGTGTGGCCAGAGAGAGCCAATGGGGCACCGTGATGAGGTGAGGGGGGGCTTCGCGGCTAGAAAGGGTGGGGCCTGAGGGCTGGGGCGGGGCCGAGCAGGCTGCCCCACACTCACCTCCACGCAGTAGCGGCCCAGGTGGTTCCGGAAGACCTGGTGGGGCACCACGCCGCACTGTGTCCGCACTGACAGGCACCACTGGCCACTGGCGCCCGGCTCGGGCCACAGCAGGAAGGCCCCAAGCACGTCTCTCCGCAGCAGGGCCAGGGCACTGGGCCTGGGAGGGCAGGAGGGAGAGGCTGAAGACGGGAGCCCTGGCCTCAGGTCGCTCCCCGGGGCAATGGCGTAACTGGAAACCATGCTTGACCCAGAGTAGTGGGCCCTCCACAGAAGGAAGCTTTTAGACTCCCATCCTAAGAGGCTTCTGAGGGGTCCCTAGCTGCTGACCGCTTCAAGGCCCAACCGGGAGAGTTTTGAAGAGCTGATGGTTAGGAAGCCGCTGCCCTGTGACAGGCCAGGTGCTGACAGCTTGACCTGAGTTATCCCATTTGATCCTCTCCACAGACCTGTGATGAAGGTCCTCTTATTATTCCCACTTTACATTTGACACACTTGAGGCCCAGTAGGGTGAAGTCCTTGGCCTGAGGCCACCAAGGTCAGGATGGCTCTGCCCTTGTACAGAAATGTGCACATGTCAGGGCCCTGAGGGAGCCCACAATCCATTCCTCTGCCCACCCCAGGGGCTGGGCATCCGGCCAGGCCAGGCCCCTCCTACCTGGAGATGCCAGCAAAGGCCCAGATGTTCTCCGTCAGACTGCCCTCACTCTCCACCAGGCACGAGGGACCACCAGGCCCCCGGGGCCACGCTTCCCACGCAGCAGGGACTATGGAGACCAGCCGGGGTCAGAGGAAGAGGCCCGAGCCCAGCCCGCTCACCCCACCACAACAGACCCCACACCCCGACGCTGGTCTCCTCACCAAGACTCCCCCAGCAAAGACACATCCGCACAAGGCACACCCAACTCATACCCACTCACCAGCTGAAGCACACCCACAGCTGTACCATCACCTATGCAAGCCCCCCAAGCATGCAGACCGACATGCAAACTCACGTGGACACGCACATAACCACACACAGGCCCAGCCTTGCAGAAAGGGCCACTCAGGCCCAGCCTCTCTGATTCACAAGGGCGCACTCAGGCCTGCGCCCCTGCTACCTTGGGGCAGGCGAGGTCTTTGCAACTCACAGGCCTCCCGAGCTGACAGCTGCAGCTGAGTCTCGTAGGTGCAGCCTCGGTAAGCCCCGGAGCGGATCACCTTGCTGCGAATGGCCTTCTTGCGCACCAGTGTGGGTGAGCAGTAGGGATTCCCCAGGCGGGCATGGCGGGTGCCCCCACGGCCTTCTGACTCTGGCAGCTCCTTCTAGGGCACCAAGAGGGGCCCACAACGGGCAGGCAGACTCAGGCCCAGCCACGTCAGGTCAGGCAAAGCCCCCTCCCACTCAAGTCCAGCACTCCCCTCCTATGACCCCCTAACCCTCGCCCAGGTCCCCTGTCCACTGCCCGCTCCCTGGCTGGGGTGCTGCATACCCCACTGCCCACAGGCCCCTCTGCAGGAAGCCGCCGGAAGGAGACCAATGCATGAACGTTCTGTGAAAGCTGATCCCGGCTGAAGGGTTCCCGTACAAGGCCAGGGGGGCCCCCCGGGCTGGACAGTGGCTTCAGGGGCATGTCTCCTGCAGACGCCAGGCAGGGCTCAGGCTGTGCCCGCTCCTCAGGGTGCTGCAAGAGGTAAGCAAGCTGGAAGGAACGGCAGAGCAGCAGGTGCAGGATCTGGACCTAGGGAGGGGGAAGGGGTTGACTCAATTGGGGCAGGTTTCCTGGGGAACCCCTTAGGCATCAGTGCAGGTAGCCCCTTGACTCGGGATCCTCTTCCGCATTCTTCCTGGGAAAACTCCTACTTATCCCCCAAAACTTCACCACCATGCAGTCCCCCCTACCACCCTCCTTTATTCATTTAACAAATACTGGGCATCTGTTTTGTTCCAGACATCATGCCTGGAGCTGGGAATACACAGGCTAAATGCACTCCTATCCCCTAGGTACACCCTGTGTCAGTACCCTCTTAGAGCAGTGGCTAAGAGCCCAGGCCCTCCAGTCACACAACCTGGGATCCAATCCTGGCTGTGTCATGTAGGGGCTGCTCTGTGACTCTAGGCAGAGCATGGCACTTCCGTGCCTCAGTTTCCTTATCTCCACTTCCCTGTGCTCCTTTAGTGAAATGGAGCACAGAAAGCCCCCAGCATGGGCCCACTGCTCTGGGGCCAGTACATTCTACCCACCACACACATTATCTAGCTCCAACATATTGGAACCGTGAGCTCCGGAAGATCAAGGGCAGTGTCTCAGCCACCTGTCATTCCAGCAGCCAGCACAGAGCTGGAGACACAGGGGTGACGGCAAATCATTGCTGGATGGAGCCAAGCCAACCTCCGCTTGCCAAACACTTGGCTGTCAAGGCTCTGTGGTTCACGGCCGTCACACTAGCTTTGACTTCCAGGATCTGTCCGCTCACCCTCTGGCTCCGAGGGGCCAAGCACTAGAGCGGTTCCTGACCTGGACCCAGTTTCTGCTCTCACAGAATTCCCTTGTCTGTCATCAGGGACAGACCAATGCTACAGTGTGGCTCACGTCACAAGACCTCAGAAGGGAAGAGTGGTCTAGAGGACTCCAGGTGGGCTTCACAGATACAGGGACTGGCCTTGAAGGGCAAGTTGGAATTTGCCAGAAGGGGAAGGGAATTCCAGGCAGAGAGAACAGCATGAGCAAAGGCCTGGCAGTGTGACCATCCAATTTCTAAGCACATGTCCTGACACCCACTTCCAGGCCCCGGGAATGCTGAGGCCGCTAACTTGCTTTTGTGGGGTCCCCGGTGGGGCAGAGCCACAGAAGGAGCAGGTGTGACAAGGAGTGCCTGCCTGGAGGGGGCTCGGGCCAGCTTGACTAAGCCCTCAGAGGCCTCGGTCCCCTGGAGACCCTGCTGACACACAGCACACCCCCCAACACCACCCTCAGTGATGGTTCGCCTGCCCCAGGCCCCAGATACCTCTCCGGGCTGGTTGCCTACAAAGAGGTGGCAGAAGAGCTTGCTGGCTGGGCTCTGGGGGTTTCGGGCCACGAAGGCAAACTGGCAGTCAGCTGGGCACCAGGTAGAGTAGAGCACGCGCCTCAGAGCATGAGCCATCAGGAGCACCTGCGAAGGAGGGGGCGGGACAGCCTCCATCAGTCCCACCGCCCGTGGGCCCCACACACCTGCCGGCTGGCCTCCCGGGCCTGCTCTCCAGCTTAGGGTCCACCAGCTCCCGGGGGAGGAGCTCTTCTCTCCTCCCAGGCCTGCCCAAACCCTGCTTCAAAGGGGAACCCTCGTCCTTCACATGGCCACTGGGCTTGGCCCCTTACTCCCCACTGCCAACCTGCTGGTTGGGATCGTCACCCCCATCCTGTGGAACTGAGGGCCGAAGTATTCACGGTCTGCAGGGTCACGGAGAAAGGCAGTGGCAGCAGACCCTGGGGTCGCACCCCTGGTCTCTGGAGTCAGGTGACCAAGGTTTGAATCCTGGCTCTGCCCCACTCTGTGTGCCGTGGGCAGGTAAGCACAGCCCTCTGAGCCCTTGTGACAATTGTTAAGGGGAGACAGTACCTCCCTCTGATGGGGTTGTGGGTGGGGGTCAGTGAGACCTCACGCACATGGCACAGGACCTGACCCCAGGGCCCCTGTGATGCACACGTCTGGGACACGATCTACACCACAGTCTTAGGAGAGTGGCTCGGGGTTGTGGGCTACACAGTCTGACACGAGGTGAGCGTTCAACACACACTGGCCTTGCACCGGGAGGAGGGTCAGCGACCGAGCAGGGGCTCCCAACTGGCCTCCAGTCTGAGTCTGGCCACAGCCCACTGGCCAACTCTGGACAGGCTTACACAGAGGCCCGGGGACCTGCAAAAAGCTGGGGCTGACCGTCCTGACGCTCAGGCCAGGAGTTAATCTCCGGACATTCTGGAGAGCTTGCCAGAGGGCAGGGCCCTCAGAGAGAGAATGTTCAAAGGCCCAGAGCAGACTGGGGTGGTGGGGAGGCTCCAGGGGTGGCGCAGGGCCAGGTGCATTCTGAGTAGGACACTTGTCCCGTCCAGTCCTCACCTGCACCCACACGGGCTCCTACCTCACCCTCCCCGCTGTAGATCTTGAGGCCCTGAAGGCTGAATTTCAGGATGACAGCCCGGCGTCTGGGACAATCCTAGGCAGGAGAGAGTCCGATGGGCGCAGGTATTACCTCCCAGGCCCTGCCCTGTCCCGCCCAGCCTCAGCATCAGTCACCACAGGCTGGTCAGCCAACCCCTCCCCAGCTGCCAAGGGACTGAGCGGTGGATGCCTCAAGAGCTGGGGAAGCGTGGATGGCTCCTGGCAGACCACCCCCAGGAGGGCCATAGCTGGCCGTGTTATGACCATCCCCCACATGTCCCATCTATGGCTTCCACCCATGGGACACAGGTCACGACTACCCAAGGGAAGGGGTCCCCGGGCATAAGGGACACGGCTATAGGAGCCTGGGGATGGCCCTCGCTGGGCCGCTTCTCCGAATGGCTTTGGTGTCACCCCTCCCAGGGCCTCATTTGCTCCATCTGTGATTGGGGGGTTGGATCAGATGGTCTCGGGGCCATTCCAGCCTGACATTCCAAGGCTGTGATTCCCTGCCCGGGATGTGCCCTCCCCAGCTCCCTACCTTCAGTGCCCACAGCTGTTGTTGAACCAGCCACACGCTCTCCTGGGGGTCCAGGTCGTCCACAGGGAAGGAACCCACATACTGCTTGGGGGTGTGGTGAGGGCGGGAGGGAGGCAAGGCAGTTCCATGGCTTCTGATCCCCTCCTCCAAATCCCTCCCTCCTACCAACACACGCTCTGCTCTGTGGGGTAAGCTGTGGACAGTGACAGAGCACTGTGCTCCGGCCTAGTAGGCTCTCCCACTTCCCAGCAGGTGGCTTTGCCCGAGCGGCTTTGCCCCTCTGAGGCCCCGTCTCCTCACCTGTGCACACACACATTCTGGAGCCCGGGTCAGGGAGGGAAGACACAGAAATGGTTCCTCCCCACTCCCCATGACCCGCCACTCAGTCACCACGCACCAGAGCGCACCCCATGTGGGCGGCCCCACCCACCTGGGCGAACTTGGTGATGCACCTGGGCCGGTGAGGGGCTGGGCCGCAGTCAGAGGCTCTCCGGCCCCCTGCCCCGGCCTTCTGCATGGCCCCCAGGGTGCCCAGCTTCGAGCTCCACAGGGGAGGAGGCAGCAGAGGGCAGGGGAGAAGGGACGGTTCCCACGTACCGGAGCCACGCTGCTCCCCTCAGAGGCCAGGGATCTCCTGCACCTCACAAATCCTTCCGGAGCACTTGCCGTGTGCCAGGCAGCATCCAGGGCACTGGGGACACAGGGAACACACAGCCCAGAACAAAATGACCGACTCCCTCCTGCCTCGGGGAGCCCACATTCTCGTGTGAAAGAGAGCGAACTAATCAATAGGAGAAGGAATTTGCTAGGGGTGCCTGGGTGGCTCGGTGGCTCGCCCGTCTGACTCTTGGTTTCGGCCCAGGTCATAATCTCACAGTTTGTGGGTTCAAGCCCCAAGTCGAGCTCCGCACTGACCTCATGGAGCCTGCATGGGATTCTCTCTCTCTGTCCCTCTCTCTCTGCCCCTCACCCACTCATGCATGTGCCCACGCTCTAATAAACTTTAGAAGAGTTAAGAAAAAAAAAGATATGCCATACGCTAGACCATGATAAAGCAGAGAGGAGGCTATGATATGCAAGTGAGGGGTTGGCCTCACTGAGGAGTGAGCTTTGGGAAAAGAGCCAAAGGTAGGGGTGTGGCAGGCCACACCCTGGGTCAAACACAGACATCTCTGTGCTCTGGGCCGGGCCTGCCCTGTCCAGGGTCCTGTAACCAGCCTGTACAAAGTGTCAGGAGCAGGTGGGGCACACTGGGAAGACACCACCTGAGAGGAGGGGTATGACAGCTGCCAGAACAGTCTGCAGAGTCACAGGATGCGCAGACCTTACCAGAAGAGTGGGCCAGAGCCAGGTGGGCATCGGCCTTGAATGTCACACCACAGGAATGTAGGCTGTGCCCTGCGGGCAGTGGGGAGCTATAGCAAGTTGCAAGGCAGGAGCTCTGTGATCTATGGGAGTGACCCATGAGCTGGATGGCCGGAGCTGCAGAGGCGGGGATGTGCTCCACAGGCCCTGGCCCATTCGGCCAGCCAGACGCCAGCCGCTGCCTGAAGCCCCCAGGGGGCCCTGTCCCCCAATGCAGCCCAGGTTTTGGTCTTTCCTGGGGCCCCTCTCCCAGAGCCACCAGTGGAGAGAAGGAAACCTCCCTTACTTAGACTGTCCTCAAGGACCAGGAGAGTGCTCACTCCCCCGAGAGCTCATGACCATTGGTGGTACACAGTGAATGAGGAGTCAAGGCTTCTCGAGAAAGAATGGCTGACTGCCTCTGCCTGGGTCCCCAATGACTCTCTCCCTTAGTTTTTGCTGGGGCCAACCCAGACCCTCCCACCTCCCTCCCCCATCCTGCCTGGCTCTGTCTCCCCAGACTACTTCTAATCACTGCACTTAGGATCAGAGAGACCTGTGTCCAGATGCTCTGTGAGTCTGGGCAAGCTGCCCCACCTCTCTGAGGCTCCATTTCCTCATCCCCAAACCTGGGATAATGTGAGGAGGCAAGACCTGAATGGAGGAGCAGGCACCCAGCATGATGCCATCTGGGCGGGGAGCGACACTGAACAGGTACAGAGAGGATGGGGGACCCCAAAGTCTGCTGTTCGGGAGGGAGCTTGGGAGGACAGAGAGGTCTGACCACTTCCAGCACCCTCCTTACACTGAAGGACTAGAAGACCTCCCAGTCTAGGAGAGCAAGTCAGAAGGAGAGGCCTGCCTGGGAGCAAAGATTCCTCCAGGAGAAAGCAGGTGGCATCAGGGCCCCGCCCCGGCCGGAAACGGGCGTGTCCCACTTAGGCTCCACCCACCTTCAGGCAGGTGCTTAGAAACTGACACTCCCAAGGCCAAGAGCCCAGGAACCGCCCCTACCTCTGCCTGCCCAGACCTTCAGCCCCAGGCTCAGCGAGGGTGGGGGCAGCAGCAGCCTTCCAGTACATTCTGCGAGCAACCTACTACTTTACTTTCAGTGAGTCGCCAGCACCAGAAGAGCCAGAAATAAAGGCTGCGTGCTCCCCTTGATGCCTTCCTGGTTCCTCCCTCCTGTACTCTCTCCCCTCCTGCTTTTCTGGTCTCACACCCACTTTGTGATCCTGACCGTTCTTCACATCATGTCCATCACCTATCCTCCATTTGATGTTTAAATACAACAAAATTAGATGTGTAACTGGCACAAAAGCTATGTGGCCGCCATGCCAGGTATAAAGCTGGGGCTTCCAGTGACCTCGCCTTTTGCCCTCATTATCACATCATGGGCTGGGATGCCCTGGACCCGCAGGCAGTGGGAAACAGAGGAGGCAAAGGCCAAAAACCAAATGGGGCAAAAGGGAGACAAGAGGAGATAAAGGGCAGCCAATGGAAGTGCGAATGGAGATGAGAGGACAAAATAAGAGATAAAGGAGGGATGGGAGCAGGGAGAGATAAGGAGCACATTTCCCACCCTTCCTGTGCTGACACAGCCCCTCAGTCTTTGGTGTAAGACAGCAAAGAGCCACATGGGTCCGCAGGCACACTCACATTCGCTCTCACACATGCCGAGACAACGGTGTCTAGGGCTGCAAGCTGCCTCCTCCCTCCAGATCCAGAGCAGCAACTTGCTTGGGGACACTCCACTGTCCGGATGGTGGAGGTGGGGGCGCCCCACCACCTACCATCTCTGGATCCTCCCCCACCCCCCGCCCCCCATTCCCCAGGAAACTGGAAGTTTGTCTCTTCCTCTCCCTCCCTCCCAAACCTCCCTCTCAGTGCATTTCAGCCCCAAGCCTGGAGTTGGGGGCTGCCCAAGGGACCAGTGAGGGTACCAGGCTCACCCCAACCCCGGGAAACAGACCTGCTTACTCATTCTGGGCACAAACACCCACTCATCGCTTTGGAACACAACTGTTTTTCCAAGGTTTTACACAGGAGACTGGCTGGGTCAGCACCTTTCTAGGGGGACACCTTTGGAATGAGGCTGGGGCTCTTCTCTTGCTCCTCTGAGGTTTTCCAGGTGGCCCTGCTTAGAGACAGGACACTGGATGGGTTGATCTGTGTCGAGGGGCAAGGACAGAAGCCCTCTACTGCACCGCATCACAGCTCAGTTGAGTCATGGCGGGGCCCACCTTTACAGCATCTGGGAGACCGCTCAGCCTGGAGTCTGGGCTTAGCAAAGGGTAGTTCAGAGGGGTGAAGCCACTTTCCAGAGGTCACACAGCATAAGGGGGGAGGGGGTTGGGAAGCAAGTCTGGGTCTCTGAGGGCTCTTCCCCTAGGCCACGGCAGTGTCCTCAGACTCCCCTCCCCAGTAAGCAAGGTGTCACGTTCGAGTTTGGTGAGTCCCAGTCTATCCGGCTGCCCGGAGCACCTCAGGCGCTAGGGGCTGATCTTAATCAGCAAAGCAGCTGCGTTCTCTGCCTGACTGCCTCTCTGCCCAGATGGTCTGGGGCTGCCAGAGCCCCTCCGGTCACCTGCCTCACCTCCACTATCTTTGGCCCCAGCACACTCTTTGTGCCACCCTCACCTGCCCTTGGCCTCCGGGCGGGAGGGGACTGGACCAAGCAGCCAGAGGCCAAGATCAACATCACAGATTGTGAGGTCCAGGAGGCTGGTATGACCTTGGGCAAGCCACTTAACCTCCCAGCCTCCATTTCCTCAACTGCAAAGTGGGGATGATAGTAGCAGCTGTCTCCTGGGTTGTTTGTTCCTCCTGAAAATATTTCAAGCGCCAACTACCTGCCAGGAACAAAACAGTCCCTGTCCTGGGGGGGCGGGTAGTAGATAGCAACATTTCAGAGGACTTACGTGATCTGGAGAAAAACAGTAAGGTGGGGAAGATACGTGGTGTGGGTGTTCGGGGGGTGCTATTTCATACAGGGTGGTTGGGGACGGCGGCTCCAAGCAGACGACATTGAGCGCAAAGTGCTGTTTTCAGGATTAAGTGGGGCCGAAGGCACGCAGGGGGCCAGCGCCCGGGAGGCACAGAGCGCTGCCCAGCGCGGGTCATTCTTCCCGCTCTTATTGTCATTCCTGGGGACTGCGGCCAGGGCTTTGGGCTGACGGTACCCGGCCCGGGGCAGAGAAACTCCCCGGACCGACCGAGGGGCGAGCGAGGCAGGACGCCGGCGGAGGAACGGCGGGGGTGACGGCAGAGGTGACGGATGGTGACGGCGGAGGTGGCGGTGATGCGGGGCAGCGGCCGGGATGCTCCTCCCCAGCCGAGACCTCCTCCCCACCTCTGCGGCCGGGGACCGAACCCCTCTCCCGCCGTAAACCCCCCCCCCAGCCCCAGCCCCTGCCCGGCCCCCCTGCGCTCACTCACCGCAGCCTCCGCGTCTCGAGCCCGGTCGCCGCTGCTCCGCGCCGCACCCCCCGCGCGTCCTGCGCGTCTCCGCCTCCCGCCCCGCGGCGCCCCCCGCCCGCGCGCCCCCCACGTGGCCGCGGGAACCAGCACCCGAATCACCTGGCGGCGGCGCCCGGCGCTAACTCACCAATCGGCGCCCGCCGAGCGGCTCCGGTCGAGCGCGCCGCCCAATCAGCGGCCGCGAGGGGCCCTGGCACCGCCCCCGCCAGCTCTCGCCCCGGCGCCTCGGCGCTCCGCCTTAAAGGGCCTGAGGGGTCAGCTCTGCCCACCGAGGGCGTCGCTACTCCGGCTGGGGACCCTCAGTGCCCAGGGCCTCACCGGTGGTCCCCTCTTTGAAGAGACCTCCCCTTTCTGCCCCCTAGCTAGCTCCTCCTTCTTCAAGCGGCGGCTCCAGCAGCTCCTCCTCCGGGAAGCCTTCCCAGACCACCAGGGACTCCCCTAACCCCTGGAGAGCCGTCGCAACTCTTGCTGGTCACCCCACTCCTCTTACTAGAGTGCAAGCGGCACTGATGAGAAGGGGCTTCCATCCCCAGTGCGCAGGACAGAGCCTGTTCCGTTCAGTGGTTGCTGTCTCGGTGAGTGAGTGAACGCGCCGAGGACCCGGTCTCCGCCGCCGAGGCAACCCAGCTAGCCGCACCCTTCCTCCCTCGCCCTCCGATGGTAGGGGGTATCGCGTATCCTCTTCCTCATCCT